TCCCAAAAGGAGATGCGCATCTCCAGAGATTGTCGAGCTTTTGGTCAATGAATTGCCTTGTGTTTTGCTTGCATAGTTCAACTCGGGAATGTTCTCCCCATATCGTGCTCTTGAACTTTTGAAGCATTGGTCTGGTTGCGTGCTATGGCTCTTGCTATGTACGAGCTCCAAATTTCTGGGTATAGCTGATACCACCCGAGAGCTCTTTCTGTATGATCAAACCATGCTCGGATTATGGCTCTGAGGATTCACAACATGTATGGATGGGTGTTGAAAAATTCTTTGAGATTCGCTTCATCCTACCCACTGATACGGTGGCCTTTGATTGTCATAGGCATCCCGGTGCCTACTGAGGGAGTTTTTATTCTTGCTCTCATGACACAATAATCTACAGCCCCTCATCTACATTCATTGCATCCGGCTCTAATTGAAGGTTATTGGAGAGAATCGGACCATAATGATCGAGCCTACTCCACTTCTTGTGGTCTCAGTTGAGAAAATCTCAATTCGCTGAAAGTACTGAGCGGGCCTTCCCGAATCCCGCGGCACTGACCCGGGAACTAGCCGGGGCCGCTACACTTATGTACCCTAGCCACAGCTACGTCACAGATCATACGACGCATGAAATCGTGGTCAACGACCTCAGCCAGCCTCAGCCGCCGTCATCTTGCTTTGATAAATAAACACGATAAATTCCTAGACCTGTTCACCAAAATCTGATTATTCTTCATTCAATCATGGTACGTTTTCCAACTGCTCAGCTCATCCTGTGAATAAATTACATGAACTGACTTTATATATCCTTCTGGACTGAGGCTATTATAGTCTAACCTTTCGCTCTACACTACTACCGCTGTTGTACTGATCGACTCGGACGGTAATAGACTTTTGGCAAAGTATTATGATCCCCCTCACCTCAGACAACAAACTGTTGCAGAACCCAACAGAAAACCAAATCCAGGGATGGTGCAGCTGGGATTCAACGGATTCAGTTCCCAATTGAGGACACTAAAGGATCAGCGAGCTTTTGAGAAGACGATGTGGGAAAAGACGAGGAAATCAACAGGTCAGTTTCTCAGCTTCTGTATTCTTTAAACTTAGGATATGATCTGACATCGATCGAGGGTAGGCGACATCTTGATCATTCAGAATCATCTCGTTTTGTACCGATCGATAATCGACATGACAATTTATGTGGTGGCACAAGAATCTGAGAATGAATTGATGTTACAGACCTTACTCAATTCATTTTTTGATGCAATCTCAATCTTACTTCGAAACCAAGTCGAGAAAAGATCAGTGCTTGAAAATCTGGACCTCGTCAGTCTTTGTTTGGATGAGATGGTGGATGATGGGTAAGTGAATCTTGAAATGAGATAGTCCAGAAAACCTGTTTGAGATGCTGATGTTCCACATACGCCTAATCGTTTCATTCTCATTCTTAGTATCATTTTGGAGACCGATGCTGTGGCTATCGCATCAAGGGTGTCGAGACCAAAAGCAGACGTAGGCGGAGTGAACCTAGCTGATATTACCATCAACGAGCAAACTATCATGCAAGCCTTTTCGACTCTGAGAGATAAGGCGGCACAGAAAATCCTACAGGGCTCACTTTAAGCCATATGTAAGTCAATACTTTCAACATCAGAGTACATCGGTGGTACAATGTCAATTTTACGAGCCTCGGCTCTCAGACTACTCTAGCTATTCAATCTGGGTACTGAGTTGAAATGCTGGTTTATTGACATCAGGATCAACACCGTCGAGTTTGCCTTCGAGATAGTCAGTCCAGCCCATACAATTCACTTGTTGGTCTAGACATACGTTTCGGTGCCAGAAACCAGGTATCCTGACGAATCTTATATGTATTCTTCCAACATTCGGGATAGCCTACTATGATTTCCCAAGTATTGTCTTTTCGATTATGTTCAATGGGTATGATGTTTTGCATGTGGATGTGGATGTATTCAGACGAACTTTAAAAAGCAAGCACTCTGACAAGTGACATATATCACTTGAGTGTGATCATATCAGTCAATCGCATCGGTAGATTAGCTGAGTGAAATGCTATCTTGTCATGATTTGGGTCGGAACTATTGAATTGTCTTGCACTCATGTATAGGACCCTCTGGGAGGGCGCAAATGCAATCAAAGCCAAAGTGGGGAGTCCTGATCCTCTTCTGATGTTCGTGAATCATCCGATGAGCCTGCTTAAGAAGGCGAGCGAAACATTGCAAGAAGTCGCACTCTTCAGTCCCGGGGTGCATCCGGTTCAGGTACAGAACCTTTCAGTCGTCTGATTAAGAGCCAGTGAGGTCTTGCCAATAGATATTAGCAGATAAGTTATTCTGAAGTTCAGACTGGCAAGGACTGCTCGTAGCCCTTCAAACCTCGAGACTACTTCTCGTGATATCAAGTTCAAACAAACGATTCTTTTCATAAAATCATTTAGTCAGATTTTGGGATTCATGAGTGACCATGTAGACCCGATTGATGACGTGTTTTTTGTGTTGTACAAGAGTTTTGATCAGTTTTCAAGCTTGAATTCAAGAACAATGATGATGGTGTGGTCTTGTGTTCTCAGCGCCTTATAACTTGATATCTACCACAAGGAGTGTACAAAAAACAAAAAGATCGATCCAAATCGTTGATGACCATCATGTAGGATGGTTTTGAGAGAAGAAATACTTTGATTTTCTAAAAGATATCAGATTTATGTAAATTTGTAGTTGGTACCAAACAAACCAAACAGTAAAATGGCCATCAAGAGGTGAACAACAAACCTGTTGACCTTTTTTGGTTGACTGTTCGATAATCGTATAACTCGATTTCAGGTTCTTCAATCCTTCAAAAGGGGCAGATTCGCGTTTCGTTATTGTGTAACGATTTCTGGCTGAAGTTGTCGAACGGGCCCTCTTACGTTTCATCCAAATTGAAGTTCGATATAAAAGTTTAGATTTCACTCTGATTTGGGTATCTGATATGATAACCAGATCAAGAAGATACATTTGATACTTTTTTGATTTCTTTCCAAGATTGATTCAACTTCATAAATATACAAATATATAGAGAAAAAACAATGTGCATAAAAGATACAAATGAACCAACCGAAAGTCTTTTTTCCCAAAACAAAACAAACAGTGATAAGAAGAAATGAAAGATAAATACAAGATGAACAGCTAAACAACCCAAGTAATTGACCCTACATTTCCCTCCAGTGAAAAAAATCACATTAGCTGAGACCGAAAAAAAAAGAGTTAGTCAGTTGGGTTATGGTTCATGGTATGATCAAAAAGATAACTTACCCAAGCCCAAAACTTTCCAAATGCAGTAGTAGGTTCAACATTCTTTGACCTTTCAAAAGCGTCCATTTCATCTAATTCTCTTCGACCAGTTTCGAAATCCATTTCTTCAATTTTAACTAATTTGGTACCTTTTACTGTTTTCCAAACAACAAAAAAGACAACGAAAATCGGCAATGAAATGTATGCTGCAATGAATTTCGAAGGTGACCTATTCAAAAAGAAAACAGAATCGGGATTGATGTCAGTTCAATAGATGTGTATGATAGTTAGAAAAAGAGAGTTACCAAGATCCTGCCAAGAAGACTTTGAATCCATTAAAGATAATGATGATAGAAATCATGGTGATACCGAAATAAGAAAGATAAGGTTGAAAAGGTGCTTTGTAATGTAACGTATCCCGATCAATTCCCTTATAAGCTAAACCTTTATGAAACCTCAAATAAGACTATTTTTTGATTGTTCACTCGTCAGTAATACGAAGGTTGAAAATCTTCTTAATGAAGTAAAGTAGAAAAAATTTACATACCAAGAAAATTGTCCACCAAGTGATCAGACCAGTGATAGAAGAGATATTTGATAACCAATCAAAGATTGTACTACCCGAGCTATTGACATTCATATAAGACAAAATCCCAAAGAGAGAGGTAATAATTAATGAATAGAGTGGTAATCCTCCTTTAGTACATCTTCGGAAAATTTTAGGAGCCATTCTGTCCACTGATAATCCATATAAGATACGACTTCCTGCATCTGAATTTCAAACAAAACCATCAGTTTTTCTGTTCTGAAGATTTGAAACAAGAGTCAATGGTCAAGTTGAAAAAGACTTACAAAGATCGGAGTTTCCAGCTGAATAAGCAGAAGTCAAGATAATCGCATTCACGATATCAGGTAAGACTTTGATTCCTGCGTTGTTGATTGCAATCACAAATGGAGATGAAGTTGCATCTCCAGTACCACCTAAAAGTCCTGGTGAATTATATGGTACAAGAAGCCCAATCACAGTGACTCCACCAATATAAAACATTAAGATGCTATCGTCCAGGAAAGAAATTGATTCTCAAAACTTGATATTTCATGGGGATTTTTGAGCAAAAACATCGAAGACGTACCGATAAAAGACTCGGTTGATAGCTTTTGGAACAGTTTGACGTGGGTTAGCGGCCTCACCAGCTGTCAAAGCAACAATCTCGGTACCTTTGGAAAACAAAATAACACATAAATATGCCAAAAGAGCAAACGAGTGAAGTCAATAGAAAGAATCCAATACCTTGGTATGAGAAAGCTGCTTGAACAAAGACACTCCAGAAGGATAAAAATCGACCAAGACTGCCTTGAATGCCGTTTAACTGATTAAAAGGACCAGGATTTTTCCAATATCTGTGATGTACTTCATTGTATCAGTAGTTTGCTTTAGAAATGGAGAAGGTTGTGGAGTCAGAGACTGACCTAAACCCAATACGGTCGTGATTCGGTCCTCCACCTGATGGTAAACGAGTGGTAATGAGTGATCAGATGAAGTGAATGTATAGAAAATACTGGACATACCAAGATCTAAGACGATTCCTAGGATGATTAAGCCGACAATCGCGATGACTTTGATTGCAGCTATAAGATATCAAGATATATGATGAGCAAGTATCCAAAAGTTGAATGAAAACTTCACACCCAAGCAGAAAGTCTTACAGAACCAAAACTCTGCCTGAAAACAAACACACGGTTAAATCAATTTCAATGCATGAATCAAGCATTTCAAAGAGAAAATATTTACTTCTCCGTACCATCTCACACCAAAGAAGTTGATAGCACAAATTGTGATTAAGAACTGTTTTCCGAGATTCGCATTGAGATAAGCATTGACTCAAATCCAAACGTCAGATTTGGAAAAAAGTTGATTCTTACAATTGTAATCCAAACAGCGACATTGACACTAGAAGTCCAATATTGAACCTGAGAAGGAAACCATGATATTAGAGAATGCCAAGACCGATAAGGTGTCAGCGAGTCAGACACTTACAACTATTGCAGCAGCAGTAATTTCAGTAGGAAGTGTGATCCCGAACGAGTACCTAAATTGGACCAATTTCTTTTAGAATCAAACTTTTCAAATCTTGGTTCATGATTAGTTAGAAAAGACTCGCCAGTAGTTGAATCCGACAGCAAAACCTAATGCTGGATCGACAAATCTGAAATAAGTTTCAGTCAGTGTTCATGTAAAACAAACAAGGTGTGTGTTATCTTTGAATTTAAAATTGTTTTGCTAACCTTGTAGCATAATGTGTAAAAGCTCCACTGACTGGAAACATGGTGACCATTTCACCCTGTGCACCGTATTGATTAGTTCAATTTCTACAAGATAAACTCAGAACAAAGACTCACTAATGCTACCATCATACTATAAACAACGACCCCTGTGGTCAAAAGATCACATATGAAGATGTATCAGGTTTAGTGAAAGTTAACTTGAGAAAAAGTTTGGATTTACGAACCCATGATAGCATAGCCCAAAATTAAACCAACTGGACCTCCATTACTCAAAGCTTCACCACTACCAAGAAATAAACCAGTACCGATCGTTCCTATGTATGATCGAAAAAAAAATCATCTTCGTCAAAAAAAAAGAAAGCTTTTCAATCGATCAAAAATAATCATAGAATTTTAGTATTTACCACCAATAGCTATCATAGAGATATGCCTTTGTTTTAGGTTCCTCTTGACGTTTCCTTCTCCTTGATGATGACCTTCATCTTGATAATTAGGATCATGAACATCTTCTTTTTCGTTGGTTATGATTTTAGATCCTTTTTCTTCTAAATTGACTGACATTTTGAAAGACCTTTATAGAGATAAAAGTGGATTTTTTTCTGCTTAAGACTTGGAAAGGTGAGTTGCAAGATAAGTAAGATGGTGTTTTTTTGGTGACCGTAGGATGAATTGATTATGAAGATGATTGGATATATGTATAATTGAAAAAAATAAAAAATAAAAATCACGTCGTGCAACAGCAAATGCTGGTGATAAGATTAAATTGAGAATATGAAGTATTTAGATTGTAGTGCGGGAAGAGAGAAAGATGGACAGCGAAGGTTGTTTGTTACGCTGTGAAATGATTGCTGAGAAGTAGTGATGAGAGACAATGCGAATTCCTGACACAAAATTGGAATAGAAAGAGACCAGAGTAAAACGGATTGAATTAAACTGTATGTCTTCAGAGCTTAAATCGTTTCAGATCATTCAAACTAGAAATGTATGTAAATAGAGTATCTACTTTAAGATAAGTTTTAGGTGAGGAATGAAATGATTTGGGTAAGTTTGAGTGATAAAGATTGGTTTAACAGAAGTTTGGATTGAGAGGTTCTTTTGTTTGAGATTAACCCGTTGAATCGATTCACCCACCCGTACCTGGAACCTGAGCGGGACAAAGAGGAACTTGATAGTTGATTATGTAGACTAATGACACTGATTTGAGACTATGTACTCTAAAGGAATCTTGAAAATGATGTTGAGAATGACTCAAATGTGAGCTGATTTGAAGTTATTGTGAGGGTGATTTGAAAGGAAGTGGTGAAACTTATTTACGAAATGGTTTGAAGGTGCAAGGTCAACAGAGTCCCACGCCGCCGACACGCTGCGACACGGCGTCAACGTGGGACTTTGCTGAGTTTGCGGAAATGTATGCGTAGTTAAGATTTTGGTTGAAGAAGACTTGTTGAGGTGAGATGAAAATCTGATTTTACCCGAATCGTTTTTGTAAACTTCGATTATCAAATGAAAAATGCTATCGACAAGGAACTGAGGAACGATCTCTATAGCTTCAATCTTTTCCTTTAAAGCCGCTGGAGCTTCTAAATCGCAAAAGGACGGAAAAGTAAACAAGTCATCCTATCAATCATGACAAAGTCTACTTCCGAACGGGCTCATGAAAACCTTATCCAAGAGTCCATTGATGATAACTCTCATGACCTTGACGAACGAACAAAAGGCCTGGACTTTACTTTGGTATCAACTAGAAAGCCATGATTCTATGCCTTCACCACAACCTCATCTCGGTGATCTCCTGGTGCCGAGTCCTAGCTTTGTGTTTGAAATTGTCGTACATACATATAAATTTGAGACGGATTCATCCAATTTGTCCTGCTTTGGTTTTCTCAATCTGAATATGGATATCATGATTCCAAAAACAGCCGATAAGACCAAAGGTCTTATCTGGACGCTTAAAATGAAGGTGCAATGCTGTGGCAGGCTGTGGCAAGGATTTCCCGTGTTTGCTATCCCGGTAACTCCGAAATCAAGAATCTCAGAAAGGTTACCTCAAGGTTTACATATGTCGCCCAAATTAATACAACCTGACACCGACTGCGACTCGCAAGGTCAATGACTACAATTTTTTATCAAAATCTTTGTACTGTCTCATTGCTCAAGAGCATAGGAAAGCAGTTTCCAATCATTGCGTTTATTCAAGAAACTTATCCTGGCTGACTGCTGAACATATTGTGAAGGGTGCTGAGGCTGGAGTTTCGATGATCAGATTTGAGTATCTAGTTCATCGGTCCGTTCAGCTTAAGATCCAATTCCTAGTTATTAAACGCAGAGATCAGTACAAAAATTTAAGAGCTTTAGACTCTTGAAATGCTTAATGTGTGATAAGAAGAAGAAATACGGACCATCAGTTCATCACATGAAACTTGATTTGTAACATGCAATTGAACTCCACGAGATTTGTAGTCTTCCATAAATTTAGGAGGAATCACAATATAATCTTGAATCCATGCTTCTTTGGTCAAAACAAAATGTTTAAAGCTGGGTACTTCTTCCACACCAACTAATAAATCTGTCAAATCCCAATAAGACCTATAAGTAGTAGATTCTATGGCTGTGACCACTGTTCTAACATTTCTTAACATTGGAGCTGCTAGAACATGTTCATTTGTTGCTCTCATTACACGATAAGGACGGGTAGACTGGTCTATCAAGACTCTCAACTTTGGAAAATCTAAACTTGCAAATTCAGCAGGTAGATCTTCACTAAATGACATTGTACCCAGCCCTTCTAATGTATCTTGAATCGGTTCAAAAATTTGAATCAAATCTTGACAATCTTCAAAAGCAGAATTAAGTTCAATGAATTTTAAAGTGCTTTTTGAAGTTCGAATGATATTTGATAACACTTTTGAATTCTTGTCATAAGAAAAAGAAAGGCAACGTAAATTGGTCAAGGCCGTAGGTTTGAAATCTAATTTTTTTATTGCACCACACATAAATTTTAACCATTCGATTTTGGGCATTGCTGAGAATAATTCTGTTATTGATTTTAAATTACGAGTTCTATATTTTGAATCTTCGTGTCCGCTAAAGATCATGAACGATTTCAAATCTTCAATGTTCTCAATGGCTTTGATCACTCGAGGCGAAATACCTATATTGTTATGATAGACAAAGCAGAGGCTCAAAGTCTTCAACTTTTTACCAAGTAATTCTATCAATGTTGCTAATTGATTCATTGAAACTGGAGTGGATGCTGTTTGACCTAAAAATTCCAATCGAAAGAACTTTGGGTTAGCACCTCGAAGAGAGTCACCATGTCAAAGTTTGAGTTAAAAGCTTCACCAATTTCATCATTCTCAGCTTGATCTGATTGGTATTCCGAATACCGAAGCTTTAGGATTTTAAGTTGCCGAACAGGACAAGAAAAGTGAGGTTCAAATAAATCAGCTTTCCAATTGTCTAAAATCGTCTGAGCGCGTTTCGAATCCCATATAACGATCGTTTGATAATAAAACGGTATAACAGCTTCAGACCAATTTCGAGATATCAATCTTAAATTGGTTAGCTCGATATACGACGACTTTGTAAAATCAGGTCCTGAATCGAGTGAACCAGCCCTGGCGGGAATTCTTTCTAAATTCTTTACAAATTCTTTCAAGATTTGGATGATGATCTCTATCGGTAAGGTATTCTTGTTATTCATCGTGTCCTCCATAATCTTGTTTTCCTTATCGCTGGTTTAATGGATGATTTGAATCCTCTGATAAGTTTTTCAAAGTGAAACGTTCACTTGTGTTAGGATCTGGATGGCCAGGAGTCTTTCAAGCCACATCACCTTCAAATATTATGCTCACCAACGGATTATGTACATAGGCTCGGTTTAAACCTCAAATAGACCGTCACGTGACTTGTCAAAAAACAGAATTTGGAATATGTAAACAGTAACATGATATGCTCGGCTGCACGCTCAGCGGAAGCCAGCACGTTTCCACATCGTTCGCATCTCGGAGCGACTTAAAGTTACAGCTGAGCGTCGGTCTTGTCTTCAAATCCTACATAAGTGGCTCTCAAACCTGCCCCGGTTTTCAAAAAACCCAGTTGACCCAGTTGTTTTTTGGCAGTAACTTTGTGTATCAAGTTGACATTTGTTGACAGCTCCCAGCCAAAAATTCAACTGGGGCAACCGGGTTTTTTGAAACTGGGTCAGGTTTGAGAGCCACTATAGTCTCCCCATACGCAACCCAATGGTACGGCAGCATCATCGTGAAAGAGCGAAGGAAGAAAGGCTTCGTTATCAGCCACCAGAAGCTGAGACGGGTGATGTGTGCTGTGTTTCACATTTCTTTACATTTTTTGAAGGAACTCATCCAGCATTTTGAAGGATCCCGCACTGATAAAAGCAGCGCAAAAGAGGATACGAAATCATCACAGAAAAACACGCCATGTCAAGATAGTCCTCAATCGACCAGACTTACAAAGACACATTCACCAAGTTCGTGTGGAAGATAACCCTGATAAGGAAAAGTATACGGACGAGCCACTTCTTGGGCAAGAGCCAGCTATGATCATCAAGGACAACAAACTGTGGGTCTTAACGGACAAGCGTTCTTTGAGGGTAGTTGCTCTGATTTGTCAAACGCCATTTGATTCTATGTCTTCAAAACAACGTTCCAAACTACGATATCTTGCCGAATATTTACACGAAGAGCGCACATTTTCAAACCCAATCACAGGGAACAGTGACATGGTACGAGGACATCTGGGCGCGGTGGGATTTCACCCAGCTCATCATCCATCAAAAGTTGCTGGCGAGTGAATCATTTTTGGCTTCTCTTTGTTCTACTCATGCTTTCATATCGAACTCAAGCTTTCTCATTTATGTAGCAGGGCTACAGTATGGCTCAGAAGAGGTTCCTGTACATACAGCTGTACTGAATACGTACAGGAAGTAATACTAGGCCCTAGGGTATCACTGATCAACTCGTGCTGAGCCAGACATAGAACTTGTCTACCCAAGATGAATGCAGGGAATGACAAGACTCCACTCGAAGGCTAGAGCCTCGAGTGGATTAGCTTAGAGATGACTCTAACAATGAGATCGCTTAGAAGTGAAGAGACGCTCGTCCTAAGACAAGCGTCTCAAGAATAGCTGAAGGGATCATCTTCAATAAACGATGATGCACCTTTCTGGCTAAAGGCCTCAAGCAAGGAGGACAAGCTCAGATATACAAGGGTAGAGTGTCGGCCGAACGGGTCCCCATACCAGCTAACTAGTGGGAACCCCATTCTTGACCTACTGCATTTCTCTTACTTCCGAAGTCTCTGCTCTATGTTGTTGCGTATAAATAGAGCCGCTCCTTCTTTGCAATTAAGAACCAGTTCTCTAAGAATTATCTTTTCGAGAATACCTTCGTGCCCTCTGTCCCCCATCAGACATCGTCCATTCCCTAAGTCTTCCCTATCTAAACTCACTACGTAAGTCTAAGTAGATTTAATACAATCCGTATACGAGGCGCAGTTTCGCCCCGTTACATTTATAGGTGGCCGTCGTCCCTGTAAGAGGGTACAGCGTAGCCGTAAGCTGCTCTCTTACTGGTGGAGACGATGTGTACTCCGTCGTCCTAAAATACAAAACATTTATACACAACACTTCAAGTCCATGTCCAAATTTTTATATAAAGAAACGTGCGATCAAGCTAATTCTCACCCGAACAAACCTGGTTGGTCCTTGGGTATATTCTTACCGTACAACAAACAGACAGGCAAACTCGCCTACAAGCACCAAGGTTTTGACGTCCAAGGTGGAGGTTTTTGGTGGCCAGATCTTAAATGTGAAGTGGATCTTGGATTCTGTGACGGGATGACAGAAGTTTTATGGCGGGGTAACAAGGACCTTATCTGTACCAGGCCCTCGATCGAGCCTTCAGGAAAGTTCACTCGAGTAGGAGCTTCCTTTCAAGTTAACACCAAGTATAGAAACGCCTGTGGTTCCATCACAAAACGTTGGAAATCTTACGTCAATCCAGGCCGGACGGTGGCACAACTCAAACAAAGGAACTTGAAGCGCCTGCGATACATTGGTAGTCCCTCATTTTTCTATAAGATGTATCTCAAACGAATTGCAGAACAAGAAAAGCAAAATTCAAAAAAAAACTCTGAATCTCCATATCTTTCTTCTGAAATCCTATCCGAAGCCTGTGTCGATTTAATGTACTTTATCATAAACGAAAATGCTGTAAAGGAGTAGCACATGAAAGTTATAGTTCTTATATTACCCTGTTAAATCCATCCTTACCACAAGATACATGCCTACTCAGCACCAGCACTTTCTTTTTCCACAGTCCTCGTCAATTTCGGCGTCACATGGTTTTGTCACTTCTGATGCCTCATGAGCTATATCTTCCTGATTAATACGGACTTGTTGATATCTATCAAACAAACCGATTAAAACCTCAGGTTCGTTCAAAAGTCGGAGAAGGTCAACCGAACTGAGCCCGCGGGAATTTGCTCGAGAAGTCTCCCTTGGTCAAGTCTCAAGACTTGGCTCTGATACGACTCTCGAATCGACTATCATACACATGAGTCACAGAAGCTGGTACGCGAACCGACCACGAAATGGCTGATTAGATCGGGGAATGATGACTATGAAGAACCTAATGATGAACAATTGCGGCGTTGAAGATCTCCAAAACAAACAAAAGATGGCAGAGTAGAGTTGTACGTATCAGGTCAACATGGTGCTAAGATGATGGGCAGTGTTGTAGATGACTGTTTTTGGACCAAATCCCCGGGTTGGATTATGACCGCATGAAGAATTGGCAAATGGCCATATTGGATTTTTGCGTATCAATAATGTCGAGTGCTATCGAGCCGCATTCAAATCCTCAGCAGCTGAACTATCATACTGAATTGGACTGATACCACATTTGTCTTTGATGGGGCGTTAGGTGAAGACAACTTTGTAAAGGTTGGAGTTCAAGCACGCTTCGGAATAGCAAGTCAAGAAATTCGAAAGTGACGCCAAGTTCAAATGATCATCTATCATTGTTATATAGCCCATTTCAAAACACCTGGTCACATTTTGATTCGCACTGATCTGATGTTCACTCATTGGAGGTGACTGACTTTCAGCCCCCTTTGGATTTCCATCTGTCATGAAACTTTTCGTGTGCTTCGATTGCCAATCGGCGTCTCTTTCGATTTGGAGAGTCATCAGTCCAGATTGATATCAATTTTTTGAGCCATCAGTGTCGTCTTCGAAAACCTATATAAGGGACCATTTATCGTCCATCGTCAACTTTCCTGTTTTAGATCCAAGCTTACACTTTTCTCAATCTTACCCTTTACCAATCATGACTTCCATATCTATTAGCGATTGCTCTTCAGAAAGATACCCTTCTTCTATCTCACCTTCTTCTATCTCTTCTTCTATCTCGTCTCCACCAAGCTCCTTCGGTGATGAAGATTCCAAATCAACCATTCCTGAACCTATCTTAGAACTCTCGATCACTTCACCACAAGAGTTACCAATTTTACTTGACGTTAACCTACCTGAAGATACCATCGGTAATGAACCATCAAGTCCACCAAGATTAAATCAAATCATATTACGACATTCACCTTCAATGTCGGTGATCCCCAGCAAGACCACTCAAATCAATAGAACTCGAGCCAATTCTCTTACTAGTACTTGTAGTCTGGCTGAAAGACGTGGTAGTAAAACTTCAGCTTATCTTGGTACTGACGATTTCAAGAAAAACTTTGCATCAAAATTGAATTCAGTTAAAGCTCGTGAAAGAACTCAAAGTAGTGAACCAAATAACTGGACAGGAAAATCAAACGTTTGGAACTTTCCTTCGATAGAGGAAACTTCACCTACTTTACCTACAGATCGTGATTTTTCTTTCAATCGTCATCAATCTCAACAAAACGTTAGTAATCTTCTAATACTCTTTTTTTCGTCTTTTTTGCTTTCTTTCATATCTATGATACTAATCCATTCATCAATTTTATCTCATAGAAAATATGTGGATTAGCTCCTTCTGCTATACCACCACGTGGAGATAAACTACATGATATGATCAATCATCTTTTAGCATTACCAACAGACGAATTAGCAGCTCAATTAGAAATGCATTTCAATCGACTTGAACCAGGACGTGATGCAGAAGAATTAGAAGCAAGAAATGAAGTGATTTCAACTTTAGCCGATCAACTTGCCAATCAATTAGAATCCAATGATAAATTATTATTCGATTTAGGTTGTTTACGTTCAGCGCATGCTTCATTATGTTCGGAATTAGCTGATGTGAAAGACGAAATGGCTTCTTTGTTATCTACTATGAATGGTACTACTGTCGAGAATCATCAATTATCTAAAGTTAAACTTCAATCTGAGGATCAAA